AAAGAAAGAAAGAAAGAAAGAAAGAAAGAAAGAAAGAAAGAAAGAAAGAAAGAAAGAAAAAGAAAGGGAAGAAAGGAAGGAGCCTGCTTCGGATTCTGTGTCTTCCCTTTCCCCCTCTGCTCATTCTCTGTCTCTGTCTCCCTCTTAAAAACAAAAAAAAAGAGGGGCGCCTGGTGGCTCAGTCGGTTAAGCATCGGACTTCGGCTCAGGTCATGATCTCACGTTTTGTGGGTTCGAGCCCCACATTGGACTCTGTGCTGACAGCTCAGAGCCCGGAGCCTGTTTCAGATTCTGTGTCTCCCTCTCTCTCTGACCCTCCCCTATTCACACTGTCTCCTTCTCTCAGAAATAAATAAAACTTAAAAAAAAAAGTGTGGTATTTAAAACATGGCATAAAATTGAACCACTGTCTGTAATCTCACCATGTCTTATTTGTAAGCAGCAGCTGTGATCTAGACATAGAATTGAGTAATTAGGAACAAATATTACTATGGATTGAACATTTATGTACTACCCCCCCCCCCAATTCATATGTTGAAAATATTGCCCAAGGTGATATCAGGAGATAGGGGCTTTAGGTGATGATTTGGTCATGAGGATAGACCCTTATGAATGGGATTAGTGCTCTTCTAAAAGAGGTTTCAGAGAAATCCCTCATCCCTACCCACCTTGTAAGGACCCAGATGATCAGAATATGTAGCCTGAGAGAGAGCTTTCTTCAGAATCTGACACCCTGATCTTGGACTTCCCAGCCTCTGAGACTGTGAGGAATAAGTCTTTATTGTTCATAAGCTACCCAGTCTATGGTATTTCTGTTACAACAGTCCAAATGGACTAAGACAGCTATGTTTTGAGTGAAAGTGTTTAAAAATATGATGAGTATAAATCTAAGGTAAACCAGCCAGTCAGGCTGAATAACAGCAGAATGATACCATTGGTTTTCTTTATAAAAATTTTTATCCGGATGGTAAAAATATATTATCAAGGCATTTGTCTCAATAAGGGAAAACAACCTCCCCCTCTTTTTTTCTTTTGGTGCCTCTGATCTTAGGCTTACAAAGAAATGGAATTCTCTGTATTCAGAGGGTGTGAGGCCACTCAAAAAAGAAAAATGAGTGTTTATTTGAACCTTGTTATCACTGTGATGAAGAAACGTCATTGCAACAGAAGCCATATGCCATTTACTCTGTTGGGCCCTCGCTTTCAGACAACTCATGAAGCAAGTCACCTTTTTATTCCTGTGAATTCATGGAACACGTAAAAGGAAGTCTAATGGTTTATCATCCAGCTCATTTTTGAATGATGATGTTGGGTGTCCTCTAATGTCATAAAGCAATATATACACATATTGGCTTTTAAAGGGGGAAGAAATCATTTGTTTCTCTGCCACCCTCAACTCTGGTGGTTTAGTTTAAGACTTTTCATTTACCTGTTTATTTTCTACATGTAGAGTGAAAAAACATTGCTTGTTAAGAAAGACATAAATGTATTATGGTGGGTAAGTGGTAGACTTTGTGATTGATGTTATTTTCTTGCTATTGTTGTTTGTTTATTCTGAAATTTTTAAATGTTTGTTTATTTTTGAGAGAGAGCACAAGTGAGGGGAGGGCAGAGAGAGAGAGCGAGAGAGAGGGATACATTGAATTCGAAGCAGGCTCCAGGCTCTGAGCTGTCAGCACAGAGCCTGACCCGGGGCTCAAACCCATAAACTGTGAGATCAATGACCGGAGCCAAAGTCGGAAACTTAACTGACTGAGCCACCCAGGCACCCCCAAAACATTTACTTGCTTATGAAAGTTTTTGTCAATACTTGCATGCAGTAACAAATCAATAGTGTGATAAAAAACAAGAGCTATCCCATTCATCTCCAGAAACAACTTCTTTTAATCGTTCTTGGTTAGTTCTTTTCCTAGTTCCTTCCATTATTACCAAAAATTATGGAGATAACTCTAGATAATATACTACACAAGTAGACAATGTTTACACATTGATTCCTAAAAATTGTGTAGGTAACTCTATATAATATACTTATAAATCCATTTCTGAATTTATCACCTTTAGATAATTTCATTGACTAATACAAAAGATGAGGATTTAGCTAACTTATATTAACTTTCCTCTTTTTTTCTTCTTTTTAAATCTTTGATATCTATATATTTATAGTTTATGTTTTTTTTTGCTACTGTATTGGTTTCCATTGTGGGATCTGGTGGCAAGACTTATTTTCCCTTAGAAGGTCCTTGGCCGGTTGCTTTCTAGTGTCCACCATTGATGATGGGAAACCAATAGTCCTTAGTATATTCCATTTGCCCTTTGATGTTTGCAGTTTAAGGTGGTATGAGCAGGTCTGGATCTCTTTTCATTAACTGGGTTGTATACTCTGCAGTTCTTTTCAGTGTAATGACATAGATCCTTCTTTAGCTCTGGGAAATTTTCTTTATTACTTCTTTGATCACTTCCGCCCTCAGTTTTCTCTGCTTCTCTTCCTGGAACTTATGTTGGTCACAGGTTGTACTCAACAATATTTATTGAGAACTGCCAGGTGTTGTGACGCCTTAGAAATCACTAGGAACTAGGAATGCCTGGTTAATACTTGCTTTTGAAAATTGCGTCCATTCCTAACTTTTTGTATAAAATCAGGATCAAAAATACTCTTATTTTTTAAAATATGGAACACATAAGAAACACACATGGGCCTTTATAAGTTCTCTTATTGCTGCTTATCTTTTACTTTTATAACTCTCTGTTTACTTTTTCCTTAATGATTTTTAGTTACCTTTAAATCTTTCTGGTAAAGACAAGTAGATTTTTTTTTTTTTACTTTAGCAGCACCACTGAGCCTAAAATTTAGGCTGGCTATCTGAATAATTCAACATGGTCTCTGAGGGAAAAATATTCTGGGCATCACTTAGAAACCAATTTTGCCTTAAAAAAAAAAAAGAACACTTTATTGGCAGAATTAAAGGAAGACACAAACAATTAGATGTGCAGAAGACCAGAGAATAGGGGAGCTCTGGTTATTTCAATGGTAGAAATGAATAGACAGTCTTTAGAGTGCTGACATCAGAACGATTCTCTTCTAAACTTTTTGTTTTTACTGTGATACTCTGTTTAATATTCAGTTTGCAAGAAGAGGGTTTAAGTGTTAAACATTGGTGTTCAGCTTGTTTCACAAGCTCACTTTCTGGGAAAAGATGGGACCTTAACTGACAGTTGTACAGTAAGCACAAAGAATGGTGGATGGGTAGTTCCCAGAAAACAGAGTTTTCTCAGCAAACAGAAACAGCAAGCGTCCACCCGGTTTCGTGCCGACGGGCCAAGGTCAGTTCTAACCCACTGGTTCCTTTCTCGTTCTAGTGCTGCCGCCGGTGCTCGTGCCAAGACACAGTGAATATAACCCCCAGCTCAGCCTCCTGGCCAAGTTCCGCAGTGCCTCCCTCCACAGTGAGCCTCTCATGCCGCACAACGCCACCTATCCTGACTCTTTCCAGCAGCCTCCATGCCCCGCGTTCCCTCCCTCGCCCGGGCCCGGGCACGTGTTCTCACAGTCCCCGTGTACCGCCGGCTACCCTCACTCCCCAGGAAGCCCCTCTGAGCCAGAGAGCCCCTATCAACACTCAGGTCAGTAAAAGCTGCAGTCGGTCTACGTAGAGTATGACCCAATACCGTTATTCATGGTGGGACCGTCGTCATTATCATCACTGGTCACTGATGTGCATATGGAGCTTTACAGTTTATGTGGCAATCTCCTGGGCCATGACCCTGCCCCCTTCTAAGATCAAGGCCATTTGAGAGCAGTTATTCTGGACCTACAACATCTCTTTCAGAAACTAAATGGATTTTTTTTTTTTTTTTTTTTTTTACTGTAGTAGCATTAAAATAATAAAATACCTCTCTGACTGAAGCAGGAAGACTTGGCCTGAGGGCAAGCAACGTGAGGGGTCCATGCTTGGCCTTTTCTTTGCACAACTTTACTGGGGCAGAGTCAGGCCTCACCAGGCCAGTGCATCATCCTTTGTATTGTGTGAAGCCAGCACAGCATCTTGAAGACAGACTTATTCAATAAACATTTGCTGAACTGAAAAAGCCTACGTAAGGGAGAGGGAGTGTGTATGCCATGCTCTGGGCAAAAGGGAGAATCAAGTACATTGTCATGATTGCACGTGCTACCATGCCTAAAAAGTGGTCTAAGTTAGGTAATGAAGAAGGGATTTATATGCACCTCATGAGTGTGAGGTAAATCATATCATGAGGAGCAAGTTCTTAAAGGCATGCGTAGATTCATTCGGTGCTAGATGTTACGATCTGCCTCATTCATTTGTTCATATATTCATTTATTTGAGAGAGATTTATTGAACTTTTATTGTATACAAGAATTGCTTAGGAAGCCGAAAGGAGAATTAAAAGATTGGTAAAAATTGTCCGTATCCTCACAGAACTTACAAAACGTGGAAAGCTAGGGAAAGAGTTGCCCCTTCCTTTCTTGAGTTATTCAGTTCTTCCTTTTGCGCCCTCAGCAATACAGCTACTATTTCATTTAACACACTACATTATATAAGTCCTCGTGGGTCTATTTCCCCCATTCAGTTGTCAGTCATCTTCTCTCGTATGTGTAGCACAGACCCTAAAACACAGTAGTTGCTCATTTGTTGGTTACAGAGTAAATGGATCACCACACAGGCATTTGGAACACAGGGCTGGTGCTCAGAGTTAGAGATACAGATGTTATTGAGTCAGTAGTTAATTACTGAGCATCTGTGAAGTGTCAGGCACTGTACTACCGCTAAAGGTACAACGATGATTGACTATGACTACAGGCTCTGACTTTCAAGAGGTAGAAACTGTTGAGAACAATCATGGTCTCAGTAATGCCTGGGCAGATCATTATAAGGACTTGAACCAAAGAAGGGATATCAGGATGGAACCAAGACAATGAATTTGAGGAGGTAGACTTATAGGACTTGATGTGGGGGTGAGACCCTGGGAGGAAGCTCAGGAGTCATCCACACAGAGTGGAAGGAGATGGCTGCTGTCTTACAAGAGGCTGGATTCACAGAGAAAGGGACGCAACAGGAAGAAGTCATTTGAGGATGGAGCCATGCTTAAGGGACAGGAGGATAATTATGTCACAAAACACATATTTACATAAGATTTATCTGCGCTGTAAAGATGGCCTGCACTGACGTCTTCTTGCACTGGTGGGACTAGCAGATTGATATTTTCTGTCTTCCTTCCCACGAAGGGTGGACCTCAACACCTATGCAGAAGCTGGTTGGTTTTTATGGAGGAAATGGCTTTTCTCATTTCAAAGAAAACAATTCTTTTCTGAATGATTAACAGCAAAATGCAACCTGAATAACAGATCCACAGATAAGTGAGACTAAAAGGAAATCTTGAAATTGGTTCAGCCCTTAATTTTTTTTTTATACAAGCTTTATGGAAATATAGTTGAAACACTGTAGAGTTCACACACTTCAAGTGTGGCATTTAATCGTTTTCTGTATCTTAATTTTTTAAGGCCGTGGTAAAATATGCATCACATAAAATTTGCCATTCTAAAGTGTACAATCTAGCAGCATTAAGTACATTCACAGTTGTGAGCTATCATGACCACTGTCTGTTTCCGAAATTTTTTCATCGACCTGACCGGAATCTGACTCCATTCAGCAGTAACTCCTGATTCTCTTCCTCCTCCTTCCTCCAGCCCCTGGTAACTTCCAACCCACTTCTTATCTCTGTGAATTTGCTTCCTCTAGATACCTCACAGAAGTGAATCTTACAATATCTGCCTTTTTTGTGTCTGCCTCATTTCAGTTAGCATAGCCTTTTCATAGTTTAGGTTGTATCCTGTGCCAGTTACTTCATTTTTGTAACTGGACAATATCTCATTGAATGGACATACCACACTAAAAAAAAATCCATTTGTGGGTTGATGGGTGTTTGGGTTCTTTCCACCTTTTGGCTAGTGTGAATGCTGTTGTAAACACTGGCATGCAAGCATCTGCTTGAGTCCCTGCTTTCAGCTCCTTTGGGCATATGCCTAGTAGTAGATATGGTGATAGGGTAACTCTATGTTCAACCCCTGTATTTTATAGATAGACCCACTCAAGGACCTACAAAACGGCCACCTTGCTTTATGACTTTTCCTATAAACAGGGTCAGTGTTTATTTTTCTCACAAGGAAATGATTTTTATCCACGGTTGCACAGTGTGGTCTGCGTTGGAATTGCCAGCCAGTGCCTGTTAATGTACATGGCTTCATTTAGCCATTGATTTGCAGACTCAGAATTTCTGAGGAATCTGCATCTTTAACAAGTTTCACTAGCAATTTTTATGCACACTTTAAGTGTGGGAACTACTTGAATGGACAAAATTCAATTCCACAAAGGTGGACTGATTTAACTTTTCATGCCACTGAACTCCATCCACCACTAATGTAACAAGACTATTCTGAACAGACATTAGGAATGGATAAGAGGAATCCGTTATTCTGATGTTCTCACTGAAGGTTTATTCCTCTGCTGCAGGAGTTTTTATTGTGTTGTGAATTAATTTCTGATAAGATAGTATCTACTGAATGCACACCATTTGCCTACCCATGATCACTGTCCAATTATAGAACTGGTATTTGGGGAGAAGAGTCCCTCTCAGCATGCCTTGGGGCACAGGTTATAATCAGATTTCAGCTATTCTGCATTTTGGGGAGGAGATTTGGAACTATCTCAGAGAAAGACCATCTCTGTGGCCATTATACAGTCCGTGGCAACAGAGGATTTGAAAATTAAGCTCACTTCAAAGAAGGTTTAGCTTTCTGCTTGAAAGTCAGATTCTTCTGCTATTGCAAAAGCTAGGAGAATAGCTCCTAGATTAGAAATCTTATCATGCAGTCATTGGAACTTATAACCCATAGATAACTCCTAAGTCAGAGGGAAAGCTAATCAGCCATTTTGTGAGGATGTCGGACAACTAATTTCTTCAGGTGACACTCCCAACATCCTGCAGAATAGCCTTATTATATTGCTGGCCTCTCTTTAGCAATAATGCTATCCACCAAGCCCTGGAGTTTCACAGCAAGAAAGGTTGGATCTGACTGTCTTTGTGCAGTTTATCAGTTTGACATTCCTCTGTTTTACTGCTTTCTTTTAGTTGACACACCACCCCCGCCTTATCATGCCACAGAAGCCCCAGGGACCCAGAATGGCCGACCTGTAGATGCCACAGCTGATAGTCATTTAGTGCTGTCAGTGCCTCATGGAGGTAAATTTGTAGATGAACAGCTAAATGTAGCTGTTTTCCAAGGGCATTTCCTATTACCCCAAAACAAAACAAATCCAAAAAGAAGCGAAATGTGCTAGCCTGCTATTTCACATGTGTTTTAAAGGGCAGAAAGCATGGCTGTGCATTTTAACTTTGGCATTCCTCAGTACCGTAGACTGAATGTTTGTTTATCATTCTGGTTACTAGAGTAAGTTAACTTTTTATTTTAATCTAACATTTAGATGTTTGTAGTTCTTGATGTTTAGTACAGGAAGTGGTATTTAATTAAGTTAGCAATTTTGTCCCAATGGTGTTTATACTATAGTTTTGTCGTGGTGTCTTTGATTTAGCTGAGAGGGGGATTTTACATCTTACACATATATGTAAATATGTAAGGAGGTTTTTTGCAGGATTTTATCTGTTTCTTATAATAAGCTAGATAAATGTTGCTCAATTTTCATGTTCACATAAACCACATGGAGATCTTCTATAAGTGCGGGTTTGGATTCCGTAGGTCCGGGGTGGGACCCACGGTTAGCGTTCCTAGCAAGCTCCGAGGTGATGCCCACGCAGTGGTTTCAGGAACCACGTGGGGTGGAGAGGGTGTAACGGAACTTACCGTTTAACGTCTGCCAGGGTGAAGTCTTCTATAAGTAAGGACCCTTTTGTAAATCAGATAATAACCCCCTAACTTACGTTTCAAAAATGTATGTTTTCATGCATGTAGGAATGCACGGTAGATATAAGACTAACTAGGATATTCGAAGAGAGCTAATATAATCAATAAAAAGATGGAGGAAGAGTATATACGTGGCAAAGAATTAGCACTCTGAACTGTGGCTGGTTATTGGCAACTTAATTAGCTTTGAAAAATTTGGCATAACATTCATGGATGTCCTAATGAAAACTGTCTTTAAAATAGTTTATGCCAGAAATAACTAAGTACTCCGTGTGTACACAGCAGAGAATATGAGTCTATGTAGATGGGTTTTTTTTCTTTCTTAAATAATTTAAAGTCCTCTCTGGAGTGTCTGATTCGACTTTTTTTTTTTTTTTTTTTAATTTTTTTTCTAGGAGAGAGAGAGACAGCGTGAGCAGGGGAGGGTCAGAGAGAGAGGGAGTCACAGACTGAAACAGGCTCCAGGCTCTGAGCTNAGAGGGAGTCACAGACTGAAACAGGCTCCAGGCTCTGAGCTGGCAGTCAGCACAGAGCCCGACGCAGGGCTCGAACCCACGAACCGCGAGATCATGACCTAAGCGAAAGTTGGACGCTTAACCGACTAAGCCACCCAGGCGCCCCTGATTCGACTTTTATTATGTCCAGACTATTATATTTCATCTTTAGTTTGTTAGAAAATGATACTCTTGTCACACGGATTCGGTTTGGTACAGTGACAGTAATATGCTATCATTCACACATAAAGAGGAAGTGACTTGGCCTCCTTTCTTGGAGCTATCTCCTTTAGGGGTGGTGGAATTGACATTGATCTGTTCATATCATTGTTTGTGAGGCCCCTTCAATACTTATAAATATGATTACAAATGCTCTAACCAGGGGAGAGTCACAGGGACCGTGGCCACGTGTGTGTTAGCCAGATGAGCTAACGTAGCTTCTGTCAAGTGACGGGTTTGAAAAGACCACAAAGAGCATCCTTGCCTTGCGGCCACTTTTCTGGTTAACAGCACTGATGTGGGTTTGCAGGTGGGACCCTGGGCTGGGAAGCCTGGCGTGACACTAGGGATGTGCTCTCTGATTCTTTGTCTTTCAGACTTTCGACCGGTTTGCTACGAGGAGCCGCAGCACTGGTGCTCTGTTGCGTACTATGAACTGAACAACCGAGTTGGGGAGACGTTCCAGGCCTCCTCCCGAAGCGTGCTTATAGATGGATTCACAGACCCTTCAAATAACAGGAACAGATTCTGTCTTGGACTTCTTTCTAATGTAAACAGAAACTCAACAATAGAAAACACCAGGAGACACATAGGAAAGGGTAAAAGCAAATATGTAATTCCTGTATTCTTCTGAGCTAAAACATGGGAGAGAAACACGCCACGTACGGGCTACATAACCTAGCAGGCTGGCCCCAGGCTGGTGAGCTGGGAGAAAGCGCCTCAGTCTCTCTGTTTCTAGAGTCAGCACGGGGTAAATATTATGAACACAGACAAGATAGTAAATATGAAAGCAGGATGAAATTCTTGAACAGAACTATCATGAATTATTTTCAGATTGCCAAAAGATGGAAAGTAAGATAAGAGGAATTCCGGCTCGGTGATTATATATATATATCAAATAAAGGGACCTTTGGAGACTTAGAAGCGAGGTAATGAAAATCATGACCTGTTTATGTTTGGAAACCTTTGGCAATGATTGGCATTCTCCTGTGGCCAGGCATTGGTATGAAGCAGATGGGCACAGGCTTCCCTGGGGTCTGGCCAATGATACTTTGAAGCCTGTCTCATCACCATGATTAATGGTAGCAAATCCTAACCGAGTGTGAGGCCTGGTTGCAGATCTTTAAATCATTTTCTTTGTATTAGAAGAGTTGGTAGTATTTGATACCTGGTTGTCCACTATTATGTCAGACTACTGTGGATTCCCAGGCGTACAGAACCTTTAGAGTCATTTTATCTTTTCTCTCCCCCTCCAGCCCTTAGACCACTTCAGCAAGGTAGCCACAAGCCTTTTTTTTTTTTTTTTTTTTTCAAATTTCCAGAGGAGACTGATTATTGCACTTGGTGATAATTATATTATTCTTCCTAACGTACCCCCTAAATGTCTTCTGTCATAGGAAACCTCCAAGCTGTTGATGAGAAACGGCTTGAATTGTTGACTCTCATGGTGATATTTATGTTTGTTTATATCCTGTATTTTTCCATAGTGGCTTTGAGGTGGCACAAGGGAAAACTTTGCAGTGAAGTGATCAATGAAAAATAGAAAATCAGAAACTGAGGGCTGATTGAGAGTAGCAGGGAAGGAGAATACAGCTAAAGGTGACCATTGTAATTGTGATTAAAATTTTGCTCTAGGTTTCCTGACAGGGAGGTCAAAACAAGGAAACAGACTGTATTGCAATTTTTATCCCAAAGGAGGAAACATAGCCATTCTTCAAAGGAAATAATACTTTCCCTTTGAATGAATTCTTTTTTTTTTTTTTTTTAATTTTTAATGTTTTTTACTTATTTCCGAGAGAGAGAGACAGCATGAGCAGGGGAAGGTCAGAGAGAGAGGGAGACACAGAATGTGAAGCAGGCTCCAGGCTCTGAGCTAGCTGTCAGCACAGAGCCCCACGCGGGACTCGAACCCACAAACCGTGAGATCATGACCTGAGCCGAAGTCGGATGCTTAACTGACTGAGCCACCCAGGTTCCTCCCTTTGACTGAATTCTTAAATAAATTTCTCAGGCACTATGATTTTACTTAGAACATAGATAAGAATTTCCATGTGCAATTGGAGACAGACATTAAAACATTGTGGAGTTGTGTGCTGATGGGCTTTGCAGATTGGTCTGTGTATTAGACTTTAGACTTATGTTGATGTCACTGATCTAAAGATAGAATTCAGATATTAAAAGGGTGTTGTATACCTTCTGGGAACCCGTCTGAAAGTAGCTTGTGTAAAGTGCTGCTGCTGCAGACATGGAGAGTTGAGGTTCTGCATTACTGCCTGAGAGTGAATCCCCAGGTTAAGAAGCCATCGGAATAAGAGCTAGGACCAATGGCCTTTCATGAAAGCCAGGAAGTCTGTCTGAGTGCTCATTGGATGGAACCACACTCCATCCTCATGTGGTCTCCCATGCAAAGTCAGAGTCTTCTCAGAAAGCTGTTTGGGGGGCCCCTGGGTGTCTCAGTCAGTTAAGCGTCTGACTTCGGCTCAGGTCATGATCTCATGGTTTGTGGGTTCGAGCCCCGCTTCGGGCTCTGTGCTGACATCTAGCTCAGAGCCTGGAGCCTGTCTTTGGATTCTGTATCTCCCTCTCTCTCTGACTCTCCCCTGCTCACACTGTCTCTCTCTCTCTCTCTCTCAGAAAAAAATAAAACATTAAAAAAATAAAAACAAACAAAAAAAAGAAAGCTGTTTGGAAGTGCTTTAATGTGGAAAAAAAATTTTTTAGAGGAGCTAATAAGGCATACATAAAGCATGGTGTGCACACACAAAGTTGTCTTAGAATATTTTTTAAGTTATTTATTTATTTATTCTGAGAGAGAGAGAGAGAGAGAGCGAGCATTGGCAGGGGAGGGGCAGAGAGAGGGAGAGAGAGAATCCCAAGCAGGCTCCCTGCTGTCAGTGTGGAGCCCGATATGGGACTCAAACCTATGAACCGTGAGATTATGACTGGAGCCAAAATCAAGAGTTGGACACTTAACCGACTGAGCCATCCAGGTACCCCAAAATATTTTTAAAGGAAGAGCTATCAGTCTTCTATGAGGTCAAGGGGCCATTTCTCAGGTGCTCCTTTGGATTATTTGGTTCTGAGCAGCATGGCTTCCTGGAGCACCAGCCTGAATAAATTTGCAGCAAAACGCCTGCCTAGATTATTGAATAAGTTAACTTTTTCTGTGGAGTTACTTAATAGAGACTCTTGGATTTCAGACATATGCCTTCGTCTCACAAATATTTGTTGAGCCTCTATTCTTAGCCAGACTATTCCAGCACTAGGGATGTAGCATTTGGAAACAAAGAAACAAAACAAAGACAAAAAATCCTGCTTCCATGGGTTACATATTATAACCAAGGCATGACGGGAAGAAATAATGTTATGTTTTATGATTAGAGAAAAACCCAGGAGAGGAAGAGAATGGGGAAAGCATGTTTTAATGTAGAAAGGAGTGACCAGGGAAGGCTTTCCTAACAAGGTGACATTTGAGCAGAAAGGGAAAGAGGGAATTAGCCACATGGAGGGGGACCTTTCGAAGCAGAGGGAACAGCAGGGGCAAAGCCCAGAAGCCCACCAGGTACATTGTAAGGAACAGCAGGGAAGCCAGGGTGAGTGGGCCAAGTGAGTAGTAAGGGAATGGGGAAATCTTTGGGGGGGTGGGGGTGGGGAAGGACGAGGTCGCAGTGACCTTGAGGCCGGTTTAAGCACTTTGGCTTTGACTCTGCATAAAATAGGAAGATAGATTTAAGTTGAGACCTGAATTTTCACCTTAAAAGGATCCCCTGGCTATTAAAATAAAATTAAACTGTTAGTAGGGTAAGGGTAGAAAGTTTAAAAAACATGCGTAAAAGAGAAGCCTGAAAGGTATATCACAAATGTTAGCTTTGATTGTAGCTGAGTTTTAGTCTCTGCATCTCTGTATTTTCTAAATGTTCTCTAGTGAGCTTTCCTGCTCCTGTAAGGATGTGATGGAGAGGGGGTGCGGCGGGGGGAAGGTGGGATGTGGCATGTAAGGGCACGCCAGGATTGCCACAGCAGTGTGGCCCAGCGGGCAGAGTGGCTGAGTGTGAGTAGTGAGGTGGGCCATTCACCGTAGGCCACACAGGTATGATGAACCTGTTTGTTCATTGTAGTGTCCAAGGAGACTTCAAGCCTTCAAATACAGATTTGGGGCCTGACCTTGCTACCAGCCCAGAGATGGCTTTGTGTGAATTAGAAGCCCCTTTCTCAAGATAAGTTACTGCCATCTTCTGGAGAAGCTTTATAATGACTGTATAAATCTTGAACAGCTATGAGGCACACACACCCTGGAGTTGTGCAGTGCACAACTGTAGGCACAGTCCAATGGAGGGCCTATCCTCTGAACCAAAGCCCTAGTGTGGATCTGGAACTCTGTGTTTTTATATTATTTTTCTGATCATACGTTAAAACATTTTTTTTTTGGAAAATTTCAAACATAACAAAAGTGGACAGAATCATGCAGTAAATATTGATACCACCATCTCTAGCTTCAATAAGGATTCACATTCTGTGCATTTTTTCCTCTATCCCTCCACAATATTTTTGCAAGAGCACTCAAGACATATTTTAATGTTTATTTTTGAGAGAGAGAGAGAGAGTGAGTGGGGGGCGGGGTGCAGAGAGAGGATCTAGAGAGGGCTGTATGCTGTCAGCACAGAGCCTGACCTGGGGCTCAAACTCAGGAACCATGAGATCATGACCTGAGCCAAAGTCAGACGCTCAACTTACTGAGCCACCCAGGCACCCCTTGCAAGAGTCTTTTAAAATCAATCTCAGGTTTCATATCCTTTCTCCATAGATTTGAGTGTATATATAGAGATATACATATATTTGTCCTGCCGCTCAGAGCTGACTCAGGCCTCCATGTGCTCATTCCGTGGGCTCTGGCCCCTCTTTTTGCTCAGGACGCTAAACCACCACCTGCCTGCCCCGTCTCTTCTCTGCTTTCCCTACTCTGGCAACTGTGCTGTGGTTGCAGGTAATACTTTAACAGGATTGAAAATTATCCTCTAAATAAAGACCAGGGTCAGATAACAAAAGTCCTATCTATTCTACTTAGTAGGTTCTGGGAGGATTATAGATTTGAAGGTCATTCAATTCAAACACATACTGAATACTTAGCAGTCTCCTCTGGCTCTTTCCCCACTGGTTCACCCTCTTCTGAAAAAACCACCACCACTGCAGAGGCAGGCCCTCCCCCTTCCCCCCTTCCCCAGCTGCCCAGGGGGAGGGCTCACAGCGGCTGGTAAAGGAAGTCTGCTTGTATTCACCCCTGCCTCACCCCCATGTCCATGCAGTCAGGTAACTATGTCCCAGTCAGTTCGGACCTTTCTGCCTACTCTGCACCGCCTGGGCCATTGGTGCCAGACCCCAGGCTGTTCAGGGACAGTGAGAAGGGACATGAGAAAGAGCAGGGAGTGGAGAGCTGAGAAAAAAGGAGGGGGCGGGGGCGGCAGCCCGTTGTAAGTGGCGAGAGGGGAACCTGGGCCTGGACATCAGATGCTTTCGCTTTGTGACTCCACATCTGTGTCTCCAGTGCTATGGCTGCAATGCGTAGTACTGAAAACCATTCTGTTCTAAAATTGTATTACGGGAAAGGAGATGGGAAAAGGAAACAGGAGATGGGAAAAGGAAACAGTAAATGGGATGGGAGGCAGTCACAGTAATGCACAGTTGTCGCAGGTGCTGCTTAGAAGCTGACAGAGGCCCTGGGCAGCTATCTGCCCTGTGATGTGTCCTCAGTGTGGCTGTGCAGAACCCCCCAGGGTCTCTGGATTCTGTGACTTAAAAATCTGTATTTGCCATTTGAGGAGATCCAAAGTATATGACTCTAGGGGTATCCTGGCTCATTTCTATGAACACCTTGTGACTGCACAGTGATTGTGCTCACAGTCACATTGACAGCTAATGCTGGAGAACCGTGTTTCCCCTGAAAGCCTAAAGGAAACCCGTTCTGGATTTAACATTCACTAGACTAGAACATCTTCGTTTTATCTAATCCCAGTTGCTTGCTCTACAATTATGTTAACTTATGTTAAACCCAGATACTTGGAGGGAAAGAATCAGCTCAGATTTAATTTGGAGTGAAAATTAGCCTGGGCAGCACCAATCTCGGGATGCTATCTTGCTTTTTTAAGTATAAGAATGTGAGATAAAGTAGCATAAGCTGAATTTTTATTGTGAGTCTATATCTGAAAAAGGTGGCAAGGATTTCCTTTTTCCTAAGTAAAATATAGGCATTATTTTTGTGATCCATAATAGTAGGTGACAAGTTAAGAATTTTTTAATGTTTTTATTTTTGAGAGAGAGTGAGAACTGGGGAATGACAGAGAGAGAGAGAGGGACACACAGAATCCAAAGCAGGCCCCAGGCTTTGAGCTGTCAGCACAGAGGCTGATGCGGGGCTTGAACTCACAAACTATGAGACCATGACCTGAGCTGAAGTCGGACACCCAACCGAGTCAGCCAGCACCCTCAGAGCTTTTAGTGAATAATGGAGCATCTGAGTGGCTCACTTGGTTAAGCATCCGACTTCGGCTCAGGTCACGATCTCACAGTTTGTGGGTTTGAGCCCCACGTCGGGCTCTGTGCTGACAGCTCAGAGCCTGGAGCCTGCTTCGGATTCTGTGTCTCCCTCTATCTCTGCTTCTCCCTCACTCATGCTCTCTCTCTCAAAAATAAATATTTAAAAATAGAGTGAAAAAGCATGAGATTGAGAGTGACAAAAGGAGTAGTAAATGAGAGCCTCGGCAATCATTGTAAACATGGGGGTTGCCATCCGCCTTTAAATGGACTGGCAGGAAACAAACCCAGATTATAATTAGAAGTCACTGAGGTCACACTGCTTCCTGTGGTTGGTAATAGTAACATTAATTGCACAATAGACAGTCAGACACCTTGAAGTTGCAATGATAAGGGGACAGTGTTCATCCTAAACTAATGGTGCTGCTGCCTGAGAACCCTGTTCTTACTTACCTCGCAGGCGTGCATTTATACTATGTTGGGGGAGAAGTGTACGCCGAGTGTGTGAGTGACAGCAGCATCTTCGTGCAGAGCCGGAACTGCAACTATCAGCACGGCTTCCACCCGGCCACCGTCTGCAAGATCCCCAGCGGCTGCAGCCTCAAGATCTTCAACAACCAGCTCTTTGCTCAGCTGCTGGCGCAGTCAGTTCACCATGGGTTCGAAGTCGTCTACGAGTTAACTAAGATGTGCACTATCCGGATGAGCTTTGTGAAGGTAAGGAGTGCTTGCTCTCAGATTAAGGTAGAAAATGAACAACTAAATAAAATGAGCCAAAATGAATCTTTGGGTGATGTGTGGCAGCTCTACAGTCAGTTCAGGTAGACAGCAGGGTTTTTGTGGAGGAGAGGGGTTTGGGGAGCTCTGTTCAGTTGTTTTTAGGAAGAGCTCCCCTATGAGTAAGTATCAACTCTCTTCTTTAGCAGTTACAAGAAAATACTTAAGCATGTTAGCTTTGGAGGCACCTGGGTGGCTCCCATCGGTTGAGCATCTGACTTCAGGTCAGATTATGATCTCACAGTTCATGGGTTTGCACCCTGCGTCGGGCTTTGTGTGGACAACCTGGACCCTGGAGCCTGCTTTGGATTCTATGTCTCCCTCTCTGTTTCTGCCCCTTCCCTGCTCGTGCTCGCTCTCTCTCTCTCTCCCCAAAATAAATAAACATTAAAAACATGTTAGTTTTGAAGGAAGAACTAGTTAAGGTAGTTGTCTGATTTTTTTCATGCAGAAGATAAAGTGACAAGGATAATTTTATAGGACTTCATGCCACAGAGGTTTTCTTCATCTGTCAAATTGCTGAGCACTGTTGTCTCCAAATAAATGGTTGTTGAATTTATCTGAATTAAGTAAAACGTTGTTCTAACTCTTAGAAAGCTTCCAGACAGAAGAGGTGATATTTATAACTAAGCCACAAAATAGGCAGTACTGGTTCTAATGCAAGCTAGTGTACAGTAAGTTGCTATTATAAAGGCATAAACAAATTGGGATAGAAATATTATGGGTGGATATGATTAACTCAGAGAGAAGTAGATGTTCTGTATATGAATATTTGTTGAATATTTCTTGAATTAGGTCTTACTAATGTTGCTGTGAAGGTTGGAGACTGAGGAAGTTACTTAGTGGGAAGGAAGCACAGCTGGGTTTGTACACTGAAGCCACACACTCCGATGTCACATCTGCTGTTGCATCTCATGCAGAGCACTGGGAATAATTCTAATATTTCAAAATCTGAGCGTGTTTATCACACTAACTGGGTGTATGTGACATAGTTTTCACATTGTTGCATACCTATTCAAGAAATCAGTATGGCTTTTTCCAGGTTTATTTTTTTTCTAATTTTTATTTATTTTGAGAGAGAGGGAGGGGCAGAAAGAGAGGAGAGAGAGAGAATCCCAAGCAGGCTTCTCGCTGTCAGAGGAGAGCCCGACTAGGTGCTTGAACCCATGAACTGTGAGATCATGACCTGAGCTGAAATCAAGCCTGGGACACTTGACTGACTGAGCCACCCAGCTGCCTGTTCCAGGTTTTTTCAAAGTAAAATTTATTAATCCTTTAAAGTTATCAGGAAACATAGTTGTCCTATTTTTCTATAACTCTATTTTTTTTGTATTTGTAATTTTAGTAATTATTTAAAAAACGACAATCGAGAACATAGTTTCCAATGGAGAAAATGGCTTTTTGAAATTATTTCTTTCATGATGACAAAGCAGTTTTATTCAAGTTTACTGTGAAGCTTTTAAGGCATGTTTATACTGGAAAGCAATTAGCAAATACCTGGAAATCTTTTCAAACGTTTTGATACGTTAGAGCCAGCAGAGGGCATTAAATCGCTGTGAACGCACAGCCACTTGACTCCTAGTTGTTTTTTCCGGGTTCGTGTTTTTAAAATTAGGATGAAATGCCAGTACGTCAGAGGTAATCATCTCACTGTACTATGAGTTTGCACAGAAACCTGATTGTCCTAAGATCAGTTAGGTGTATTTCATAAAGCTATACAATTCACAGCAAAAACAGTTAACTAATATTGCAAATACAGCAACAACAGATGGCTAGTTTAAAAGAAATTTAAATGAGTAAGGAAGAATGTGAAGTATGTGAGGTGGTGGGTGTTAACTAAGTTAATGTGGTGATCATGTCACAATATATGCGTACATCCAGTCACCATGTTGTACACCCGGAGCAAACACAGTGTGTATCAGTTGTATCTCAACAAACTTGGGGGGGGTGGGATAGTACAAATAAAAATAATGTAAAATATCTCTTTAGTAATTACATATCAGTTATGTATTAATATCTTAGGTATGTTGAATTGAATAAAACACACTATCAATCTTTAAAAAATACAAGAAATTATAGAGGACTAAACACTGGTGGCTGCCATTGAGGGGTGATGGGCTAGATCATCCTTACCTCTGATGTTTACTGATTCTAGGACTCATCCAGTCAGTCAGTGAGATGTTACTGAGCGCCCACCTTGTGCCGCAGCAGGCACCATTCTACGTTGTGGGATACATCAGTGATTACCCAAGATCTGTGCCCTCATGGAATCAATATTCCACTAGGGAGAGACAGGCAATAAACAACAGCTGTACTGAAGAACCTGCATGGAAAGAGAAACATAGAGCAGGATGTGGGGAGTTGGGAGTAATGGAGTAGGGTAGTTTGCAAGCTTTAAAAAGGTGAGCATCATGGGCCTCACTGGGGACTTGAAGGAGATGAGGGAGTTAAATCATGAAGGTATCTGGAGGGGAAGTAGAGGGAAGGGCAGACCCTACAGCAAGAGCATGCCCTGACATTTGTAGGAACCAGGAGGCCAGGGCGCCTGGAGTGTGAGTGGCGAGCTGGGGGGTGACATCAGAGCAGTGATAGGGACCCAGGTCAATGCTTTAGAAGCCGCTACAAGGATTTCAGCTTTTACTCTAACAAGATAGGGAGCCCTGAAGGGATAGGAGCAGAGAATTTCTTAAAGGATCACTATAGTTACTATGCGGATTGCAAATATTATGCAGGCAAGGACGGAAGCAGAGAGACCCGCTAAGAGCCCACTGCAGTACTCAGTTGAGAGAGGACAGTTGCTCTCAGTTGAGAGAGGAGCGTTATGGTAGAAGTTGTAAGAAGGGTAACGATTCTGAGTTGTGCAGGTGATTCTGGGTGACGTATGAAAAAGGAGGAGTGAGGGAGATGAAGTTCCCGCCACCCAGGGCTGAGGAGATAAAAGTGGGTCAGGTTTAGATAGAAGATTGAGTTCAGTGTTAGTGAGGGAAACTTTGCACTGACACACATCCCGGTGGAAATGCTGAAGAGACGGTTCAAGGTGCGAGTCAGGATGTAGGGAGAGGGCTGGGCTGGAGATGTTAGTGTAGGAATTGTTAGCACGTGCACACTCTCTGTCCATGAGCCCGAGTGGAACTGCCAGTAGTTTGAGTTTAACAGAGAGGATCAGGGGTTCTAGGACAGAGCCCTGGGACACTTCAACCTCAAAGGAGAAAGAACCAGCAAAGAAAACTGAGGAAGATTAACCAATGTAGGAGTGAAACCAAGAAAGTAAGCTGCTCTTTAAACCAAAAGAAGAAAGTATATTGAGGGGAGAGAACAAACCAAATCACATACTGCCCAACTGACTCAGAGACTGAGAGCTGGTCATTAATTTTAGCAGGTAAGGGTTTTTTTTTTAATGTTTAAAGGATTTTTTTTAATGTTTATTAATTTAGTTTGAGAGAAAGAAAGAGAGTGAGCTAGGGAGGGGCAGAGAGAGGGAGAGAATCCCGAGCAGGCTCCAAGGCGCCAGCACAGAGCCGCACACAGGGCTCGATCCCAAGACTGTAAGATCATGACCTGTGCCAAAATCGAGTCGGACGTTTAACTGACTGAGCCAACCAGGTGCCCCAGTTTTTTTTTTTTTTTTATCTTAACAGAAACAGTTGTGTTGAAGGCTGGGGTTGAAATGCCTATCAGAATGGAATTAAGAGAGAACAGAAGGAGAGGAATTGATACAGCCAGTTCGGACAACTCTTTGGAGGGTTTTTGCTAGGAAAAGGGTCAGAAGTATAGGGCAGTAAGTGGTGGTAAGCAGTGGAGCCGAGAGAAGTATTTTGAAGATGGGAGATATTTCATCATATCCCTATGTTGATGGGAATGATCCAACAGAAAACAAAATATCATAGGAGAGATGGGGGAGATTTCCTGGAATGATGTTCTTGGGAAGGCATTTGAGTCTTACGCACAGCTCGGTGCACCAGCTTATTTGGAAGCACCGGTAACTAGTCTGTAGTGAGAGGTACAAAGGCTGAGTATGTCGGTGCAGGTGTTGTGGAAACCCTTCTGATTACTTCATTCCAGTCAAAATACGAAAGAAGATCATCATTCTCAAGTAGACTGGGGAGTAGGTGTTAGAGGCTGTAGGGAGAAGGACAGTCCTTTGGGGTGTGGGGGGTAGTGGGAGAGCACAGGGACCGGGGGAGTGTCATTCGATTGCCAGGTGGCATCATAAGGGCACTTGAGGCTTGTGGTCACGAATGTAAAGTGTGATCAGGCAGCGTGGTTGTGTTGAAATCCAATTTTTTAAAAACTACACATAATCACTGTTCCCAATAAGAGTAATTTGTGATCTCTCTTCATTTTTAAAAATAACTTTTCACTGGTATATAACGTCTAGAGAAAAAAATACATGAGCTTATTTTTTTCTTTATCTTTACTGTCTTCCCCATGAATGGTAATAAATGGGAAAATGCCAAAAGTGAGCCAGAAAGAGAGAGGAGAAACAAGCTTTGTTAATCAACCTTGAATCATCAAGAACACCCTCAGTTCTCTTTCTCTCTTTACAGTTTTCAGATCCAGTCACTGGTCTGTAGTGAGCATCTGTGCAAAACACTGTTCAGCAGTAAGGGGTTGAATGTAAGGTCAGGCTCCTTCCCTCGTGGAAGAGAAAATGATTTGTCAGTGTTTCCGATCTGACTAGAGACCAGACCATCTCTAGGTCTGTGTATTTAGTTGTGAGCCCAAAGGTAATCCTTTGATTTCGATTCATCTTACGGTGTCTGGTTGATATAGAAGTTGTCTTGTACTTACCGGAAGGTTAAGTGCACCTTCTCTCAGCTGTCAGGAGCGGCTCTGGTGTGTGGGCTCTGTGTGCAAGGAGGCCTGTCTGTGTCACACCTCTGCAGGCTGACCATAAAGTCTGGCACGTCACTTTTGGCTCTGTTTTTGTTTTTTTTTTAATGCAATTGAATGGCAGGTCGGCTAACATACAGTGTATACAGTGTGTTCTTGGTTTTGGGGGTAGATTCCCATGATTCATCACTTAACATACAACACCCAGTGCTCATCCCACAAGTGCCCTCCTCAGTGCCCATCACCCACTTTCCCCTCTCTCCACCCCCATCAACCCTCAGTTTGTTCTCTGTGGGTTTTTTTATTTTGGGTTTTTTTTTTTTAATGTTTTATTTATTTCTGAAAGACAGAGACAGCGTGAGCAGGGGAGGGTCAGAGAGAGAGGGAGATACAGAATCTGAAGCAGGCTCCAGGCTCTGAGCTAGCTGTCAGCACAGCGCCTGACACAGGACTCAAACCTGCGAGCCATGAGATCATGATGTGAGCCGAAGTCGGACGCCCAACCAACTGAGCCACCCAGGCGCCTGTGTTCTCTGTGTTTTAAGAGTCTCTTATGGTTTGCCTCTCTCCCTCTCTGTTAACTATTTTTTCCCCTCCCCTTCCCCTACGGTCTTTTGTTAAGTTTCTCAAGTTCAACATATGAGTGAAAACATATGGTATCTGTCTTTCTCTGACTGACTTATTTCACTTAGCACAATACCCTCCAGTGCCATCCACGTTGCTACAAATGGCAGGATTTCATTCTTTCTCATTGCCATGTAGTATCCCATTGTATAGATAAACCACATCTTCTTGATCCATTCATCAGTAAATTTGGCTATTGTTGAAAATGCTGCTTATAAACATTGGGGTACATGTGCCCCCTCTGCATCAACACTCCTGTATCCTTTGGATAAATTCCTTGTAGTGCTATTGCTGGGTCATAGAGTAGTTCTATTTTTAATTTTTTGAGGAACGTCCACACTGTTTTCCAGAGCGGCTGCACCAGTTTGCATTCCCACCAACGGTGCAGGGGGTGCCCATTTCTCCACATCCTCACTCTTGGCTCTCTTCTTGCTTTTCAGGGCTGGGGAGCTGAGTATCATCGCCAGGATGTCACGAGCACCCCCTGCTGGATTGAGATTCATCTTCATGGGCCACTGCAGTGGCTGGACAAAGTTCTGACTCAGATGGGCTCTCCACATAACCCCATCTCATCGGTGTCTTAACAGTCAGTCATGCCTTCATCGGCATTTCTAGAGCATAGATGCTATTGCAGGCAGTGGCTTACACCATTTCAGGTTTGCAACTAACTGAAGTGTCTAAGTACATATGTAAATACATATAATATATACTATTCATATTTTTTATCACCAGTTGTTTTGTGCTTTCTAGTTAAACCTGATGCCAGTACAACGTGATTAGAAAAGCAGGTTTTTCACGCCTGTGCTATAATAATAGGAAGCAGCTTCTATTGTGGGCAGTAACAAATGAAAGGCAACTGTGTCAATAGTATTTGAAAAATGTTGGCAGAATAAGAGGCGGCTTTAGTCAGCTGTGTCATTGTAAGGCATGTTGGGTGGCCTACCAGAAAAATATCAAAACCGTTTATATATTACAAGGGTACTAGCAGCACTAGAGCAAATAACACTTTCAGACAAAAGAAAAAAGCAGTCGAACCCATATAATTTAAACAATCTCACTTTTAGTGTTATCAGCAAGGAAAACAACAACAACAACAGATCAAGCCTGTAAAATCAGTTATGTAAGACAAGTCACGAAAATGATTTTATTTCTCAAGTTGAAATACCGATAGCTGGATGATTGTGCTGATATTAATGGTACATATGAAACAAATTTAAACTGTGATTGCAAAAGAAACTGTGAAGCTGGGAGCCACATTGCCTCATAATCTACCACTGAGAAAAACAAAAAACAGAATGAGTCTAATACATGGGAAGGTTAATATGAAAACAGCAGGAAATGAGCATCATTCCCAAATTGCAAAACAAGACCAGAACTTAGCCCAAGAATCAGCCAGGGAGATACTTGCTCCCCACGCAGGGAATCAGGGCTGTGTCTTCCAGGTTCCTGAAGTCTGGCAGCCTGGCCACCTCTGGAGTCTGCACGGTGAGCGAGAGGACCGTGTGTGCACATCTTGCGTGGAGAAGCAGCAGTAAAATAAGAAGCAGCAGAAGATCCTGCGTTTCCGTACCCCTTCTCACGTTCCCATCAAGAGACTCATGGCAAGGGCACTCCTTTTGCCGCATTTTCCCCACACGTTGGCACATACTATTTACAGATGACTAAAACCGTGGTGAAGCCTTTCAGAAAATCTGGACACATTGCTGGGATGAAGTTTATGAGTTATTTAACTTAGTGTCTCGATCTGCTGGTCACATCTGGTAGCCTCTTATAAAGCTGAAACCTCATACCCGGAAATAACTTCCTAAATAGGATAATAAGTTCATAATCCTTATAATTTCTGGGGAACAGTGGTACTAGAGAGTGGGACACTGAAAAAATATATATGGTATTAAAAACTAGTTCTTAGTTACTCTTGGATGATAAAGAAAGGAGAGGAAAATTCCCCCCATTTCTAGGTACTTTCATATATATATATAATTCCCACCCACTAAACACTGCACTGCTTCGAAAAATATTTCACACCCTCTTAAAAATGTATAATTTAAGAAGGTAATTATGCTTGCAACAGACGGTCCTTCAGTAATCCAAGAGGCTTCTTCATTTATACATTCTATCTCAAGGCTTTTTAGCATTAGCACACAGTCGTTGCTTCTCGTTGAATTGTATTCAAGGTAGAAATGATCCTGTGAAAAAGATACATGAGTGAGCGCCTACCATCACCTCCTGTAAGCACTAGTGTTATCTAATAGAACCTTTCATATATGCAATAGAAAATAGTTCCACGTTAAAATTAGGTGGTCCATTTAGTGTTTAGAAACCCCGTAGTTCATTGGTTCATCACCTATGTACTGTGCTCCTGTGCGTGCTGGGTACAGTGTTAGGTACTGTGGAATCCAGTGTAAACCAGAGACAGCCCCAGACTCTGGAGCTGAGAATCTATTAGGAAACCTGTGTAGACATCTTGATGTATTTGAACTTTTAAAACAAAACAAAACCTGCAATCTTTTTCTGCTTGAAAAAAAAAAAACCACAACGGATGATTTCTTAACTATCTTTCTTTTGAAACTTACTTCCCTTCTTTTCTGACCAATCAGGTAAGGGATGAAGTCTTCCTTGGATAATTACTTTTCTTCAGTGCTTCAAAGTTATTTGTTTTCTCTCCTTGCTTTCTTATCTTCCAGTTTTTCCCCATTTCTTTTCTTGGAAGAGGCTTTAATATGGTCAGTCTTCCTCATATGAGTACCTTTCCGTGAGAACATCAGGTACACATGGCTTTTGCTTCAGAGATTTAACATGACTTTCTTGATCTCCTCACAAGTGCTCAAACTCATCCTCTGGTAACCCGATACCTTTGCAGAATGAATTGTAACTGGTTGTTTGTAAGTTACATTTAAAAAATTTTTTTTAAGGTTTATTTATTGTTGAGAGAGAGAAAAAGAGAGAGCATGAGTTGGGGAGCGGAGAAGGAGACATTGAGCAGGTTTCAGGCTCTGAGCTGTCAGCACAGAGCCCGACATGGGGCTTGAACTCACAAACTGCAAAATCATGTCCTGAGCTGCAGTCAGACACTTAACCGACTGAGCCACTCAGGTGCCCCGCTTATAAGTTATGTTTTAAACAAATAAACAAACCTGCATTTTCATGCAGCTTTGGGAAACCAGGACAAAATACTCCAGTGAGCCTGTGTTATTCCTTTGAAAAAAGCACATGATTAAAGCGGTACATTTGCGAAATCACCAGTGTGTCTCACCCAGAGCCTATTAGGATGTGAGTGAAATGCAGAAGAGTTAACCCTTCAGTCACCGTGACAGTCACATTCTCATTGGCCTTTTGACATTTCTGTTGGCAAAAATTGGCCAAAGTTGTAATGCATCGTTTGCTTTCAGACTTCCACGTTTGCTCATTTAGCATTTGTTCCTTGAGATGGACAATCCAGAAAAATGTAAGAGCATTGTTTTGGAGGATAGCTAGCAAACTGGACATGCTAAGCCAATTAAAGACATGGCAATGCCAAACATGTTTGAGGTTGCCATGGGCAAGGGTCGTGCAATAGCGAACAACGTCGTGGCCTGCTCTGAAGACCCAGACATCTGTTGTGTTGTTCAAGCCTTTTGTGTTTGTTTGTTTTTTTCTTGTTAAAAAATTGTGATGTGAGAAATTCGTTTTAGGTGATTTTACTATATGCCAATGCTTTGGAACTATAAAGATGTCACTTTTCAACATATTTACCTTTTTTTTTTTTTTTAAACACTCAGTATAAATCAGGAAAGGTTGAACAACAACCTAGCACTAGCACTCAAAATCCCTTTTTCATTGTCTTCTAAGGGATTAGGAGCAACAACAAAAGCTTCTTCTATCACCTGCTAGACTTTAAGCACCTGCTTAACTTCGAATGTGTCCCTGATACTTGGTATATATATTCAACAACTAAAGAAAAATATAATGTGCATCCCAAGTTTGCCTTCCCCATTATGATTTTGCAATTGAACTGTATGACAAGACTAGAGGGTCCTGGCCTATGTTAAGTTCAAATTAATGTAACACAAACCAACAAAAAAGGGAACTATTTCTATGTAAGTAACGCGTTTGATTATAATATCTAGGCTTCAGTTATCCTTCAGATGCACACTTATACCTGTTACCTAATTGTTTATAATAAACAGTACTGTACCTATATGTTTTTGGCTCATTTTTCCCTACAAACATCAGGAAAGGATCACTGTGTGTGGATCCTTAAGATGATCTTAAACCATCTTATTTTGAAAATGAGATGCTTTTAAAATATAACATTTAAAAAAATTTTTTAACGTTTTATTTATTTCTGAGAGAGAGAGAGCGCACGTGAGCAGGGGAGGGTCAGAGAGAGGGAGACACAGAATCAGAAGCAGGCTTCAGGCTCTGAGCTAGCTGTCAGCACAGAGTCTGACGCGGGGCTTGAACCCACGAACCGTGATATCATGACCTGAGCCGAAGTCGGATGCTTAACCAACTGAGTCACCCAGGCGCCCCTACAATACAACATGTTATAAGAGAAATTAGGTAATGGTTTTGAATTAAATATCTTGGGCTAATTGGCATAACATGTAGAATCTTGAAGATCCTTTGTAGTAACTTCAGAGAGGATATGCATAAAAGGTTTCTTTTTTCTGGATCGTGGCAAATTTTAAGTGATATTACAGTATATAGGAAAGAGCTTTATTATAGAACATCTGTTCGTTGATCAAGAGGGTGCTCAAGATGGATAGTGAATAAAAACGAAGATAAAATCCAGGAGGAAATTCTCAACTCCATTTTCTCCCAGTCTGAAAATGGAGGGGAGAAAATATATAAACCTTTCAAGAAAGCTTAGCCTTCTTATTGACTTGATCAAGGTTTTCCTTTTTTAATTTTTTTTTTAGAAATGCCCTCTTTATTCAGAAGAGATATTTGTGGATTTCCAAACTATAAACAAGTGAAAGGAGGACTATTCTGGGTCAGATGTAAGTGGGGCTTATGAGGCCTCCAGTTTAAGCCGTGAGTTTATGGAAAACAGTGATTGTATCTTGTCTGCTTTTGCATCTTCATGTTCTTGACCCTGTCCCTGAATCTGATATTTGGTAGGGACATTTCAAACACTAACTAGTACAGACTTTTTAAATGTATCATGGCATAGACGTATAAGACTGTCTTTAAACATTAGCCCGTCTTAGAGGAAAAATATTTTCATCATCTGAAAGACCTCTACATACTTATTTACCAGATTATTCTAGGTGTCAGCCACCATAGATGTACAGCAGGCACTGTAGACGCAATGACAAACAACACAGTTTCTGCCTTTAAAGGAATTTAGCAATTTGTGGAGGAAGATGAACAAGTACATCAATAAAGGTCAGTGCACTATTCAGTTGTGGCAGGCTCCTGGGGGACCAAGCAGTGACATCTCCATCAGGCCCTAGGTGGGTACCTGGGAAGGCTTCTGGGACAATCCAACTTGCCTGCCTTCCCACCGGTTCTAAGGGAACTGTGCAAGTCATCCGAGACCTTCCCAAGCTGGGTTGGGCGTCTCTTCTCTGTGTAATAGTTACTTATTTTGAGAGAGAGAGAGAGAAAGCGTGCATATGCGCACATGTGCAAGATGGGGAGAGGCAGAGAGAAAGGGGGAGACACAGGATCTGAAACAGGCTCTGTGATGACATCAGCGAGCCCAATGCAGGGTTTGAACTCACGAACCGCAAGATCATGACTTGAGCTGAAGTCGGATGCTTAACCCACCGAGCCACCCAGGCGCTTCTCCACTTCTTTTAAAAAATCAGCAAGTGGGGTGTCTGGGTGGCTCAGTCGGATGAGCATCCGACTTCAGCTCAGGTCACGATCTCACAGTTCATGGGTTCGAGCCCCGCGTCGGGCTGTGTGCTGCCAGCTCAGAGCCTGGAGCCTGCTTCAGATTCTGTGTCTCCCTCTCTCTCTGACCCTCCCCTGCTTGTGCTCTCTGTCTCTCTCTCTCAAATAAGTACATTAAAAAATTTTTTAAAAAATCAGCAAGTATTTCATTCCTCCTCTTCTTTGAAGTATTTGCAAGCCTCCTACTGCGTGTCCAGTGACCGTGTTGCAGCTGGTGAGGATGCGAGAAGCATGCTTATGATTTGGTTTGGAAACAGATACTCAGCCGCAGAGCAGTAGCAAAGAAAAAAAGGTAGTTTCGACAGTTAAACAGTTATAATTGTTTTTATCTCAAGCATTTATTTTTAAAATGTGAGTTTCAGTAAAAATTCAGTAAAGATGGGAAAGAAGCATAAGGAATTCTGATGTTGCAGCCAAGAGTTGCACCTGCTCAACTCTGCCATTGCAGTGCACAGGCGGCTGTAAACAGAATGTCAATGATGCGCGTGGCTAGGCGCCAATAAAACTTTATGGACACTGAAATTTGAACTTCAGTACTTTTCACATGTCATGAAGCTTTTTCCTTTTGATTTTTCAACCATTTAAAAATTTTTTTAATGTTTTTTTATTTATTTCTAGGAGAAAGAGAGAGAGACAGCGTGAGCAGAGGAGGGCGTCACAACTGAAACAGGCTCCAGGCTCTGAGCTGGCAGTCAGCACAGAGCCTGACGCGGGGCTCGAACCCACGAACCGCGAGATCATGACCTAAGCGAAAGTCGGACGCTTAACCGACTAAGCCACCCAGGCGCCCCTGATTTTTCAACCATTTAAAAATGTAAAAACTACTCTTAGCCTGCAGCGGCGGTACGGAAACAGGCTGTGGGGAGGACTTCGCCTGGGGCAGGGTGGCAGTTTGCCCGTTGCTCCTTGGAAGACTGAAAGACCACCCTGAGTGCTGCAGTCACAGCTTTGCTCCCATCCAAATGCAGCCCCATGAGACGCCCCAAACCCGACCACTGGAGCCCCTCACTGAGCTCAGTCAACCCGCAGTGTGTGAGCAGCGACAATAAAAAGGTGGTTGATTTAATCCATTGTGCTTTGGGGTGGCGTGTTGGATAACCAAAGTGGTAGTCACAACCATCGTTCTTTTTTTTTTTTTTTTTAATTTTTTTATGTCTTTATTTTGAGAGATAGAGACAAAAGCGAATGGGGGAGGGTTAGAGAGAGAGGGAGACAGAATCCAAAGCAGGCTCCAGGCTCTGAGCTGGCAGCACAGAGCCTGACACGGGGCTCGAACATCACAGACTGTAGGATCATGACCTGAGCCGAAGTCGGACATTTAACCAACTGAGCCACCCAGGCGCCCCATAACCATCGTTCTTACATTCGCAATGTTGATGAAACTTCGTCCGGGATTCATCAGGAGGCTTCAGGTGAGAGCAGCTCCTCACAAAGTGCGGGCATGCCTGTTTCAAAGCACCTGCAATTTATTATTGAGTAGTTGCTACTCTGGTTCTGATGAGTATCCTGGCTCAAGTTGCTTTGACAGCACATCAGCTATTTAAGAGATCTCTGTTCAAAGTACTTGCTTCGCTCCTAGACTACATGAAAAGACTTGCTATTTTGGTTGCTAGAAATAGAACAACCAATTGCTGCCTCCAATTATTAATAGCAGAGGTGAGCCATGACATTTCCCTGCAAGGGTACAGTGTAGACAGTCAAGCAGCCCTGGCTTCTGAGGACAGTGCTGTTCCTGCCGCTGCTGTGTTGGTGCAGTCACTGTGCTGATCCCAGCGTCTGACCTTCACTTTGCATCTAGGAGAGTTCAGGTAAGGCCTGGTGCTTGGTGGTCGGAAAGCATCCGCCTTCCTCCCCACAATGAGCACCTGAGGGTTTCCCCCATGTGTGTCAGGTTTAAGTTCTCGTACTCATTCAGAAGGGCGATGCCTGGCCTGGGCAGGGGCTGTAGTCGTTTTCCAATTGCAGAGAAAGCTGGAAGTGTTCAAGAAATGAGATGGACTTTATGCTGTATTTACAGGTAGCAAATGTCTGGGACTAGTGAGTCACAGGCAATTTTGATTGTTGCTGGCACAAAAGA